TATATATATATATATATATACGTATATAAATTTTGCCTTTCAAAATAATTTGAATTTTTACGTCTGCTGTATAAAAATGTATTATATTTTATTATATATATATTTATAGATAAAAACCGCCAGAGCCAATCTTTGTGGAAGGAGGGGGGGGGGGCATCTCCTTGAAGATGACACCAAGGAAACAGGGCTTGGTGTCTGCAGTCAAAAGAGCAAATTCAAACTATATCTGCCGCCCGTCTGGGCCTAGCTGCTTAGGGTGGTGCAAGCAAGGTTTGCAGAGCAGGGGTGCCGGCTCGGTGCTGCCTTCCTGGGGAGTGAGAGGGGAACGCATTTCAACAAACATCCATCAGTCTACTGAGCAGTCGTCCTTAGGATAGATGGTACATGCCATATCCCACTGGCGTCGCATAGAGTCCGACGGGCGGGATGGGGAGCACAGGTCTATGGAAAGGGTAGGACGCTCCGTATATGGATGCTGCTTGCAGGGGTGAGTTGATGGGGAAAGGGAGGCTGAAGCCAGAGGGCAGCATAGGTTTTGCAGCCATTTTCAATTTCTCCAGCTCTGCCTCCTGCAGCCTTTTCGCCTTGGCCCTTCGGTTCTGGAACCAGATTTTGACCTGGGTCTCTGTAAGGTTCAGGGAGCTGGAGAACTCGGCGCGCTCTGCGATGGAGAGGTACTGTTTCTGGCGGAACTTGCGCTCCAGCGCCAGGAGCTGGGACGTGGTGAAGGGTGTGCGTGGCTTCCGATTGGTCTTGTGCTTCCGCAGGGTGCAGGTGGTGGGGCTCATGTGTCCTGGAGAACAGAGGGGAGAGCATTAGCAAAAGCGAGTGGCTTTCTCGCCAGGTGTGTGTGCCGGCCTCCCTCTTGATCTTTCAAAAAGATACCCCTGTCAAAACCAGGTGTGGTATCTGGGGGAGAGGGGGATAAGAGTGGAGAAGGACCATATTTAAACAGATGAATTGCTTTATTTGAAAATCGAGGCTTTTATCAATAAGTTGGGGGATTTAATGGTGGAACAGAACTTCCTGTATGGAAAACAATCAGGATTCAAGTAATGGAAATAGAACATTTATGAACAGACCCCTCATAAGTTAAAGGAGCTGCGTGGTCTCTGAGAACAAAATACCATCTCTTCTGAGCTTAATTTCTCTTGTCTTTAAAATGGGGGTGGAGGGGGTCTCATAATAATAACCCTCACTTCCCTCGGATGCATGAAAGGGGCCTTATGAAAAAACTGGGTTAGTCCCCTCTCTCCAGCAGGATAAGCCACACAGCATCAACACACGTACGAGGGACAGTCATGCAGATAAGGTCTGTGGTAAATTAATAATAGTATCTTGTGATTGGGCAGCAGCCCCATGCAATAAACAACCACACAGCTGTCATTCTATCCAGTCTACAGATTCTAAAACCTGAACATCATCTTACAGATCTGGATGTGGGAGAAGTTTTTTGGCCGGGTGCTTCTGTAGTATAAACTTTACTAAGAAGGAGAGGGAAATTAGCTCGCCCATAATTGTAAATGTCAGGGGAAATCCCACCACCTCCAAATTCAGCCCGAGCATGTGGTGACATCTTAGTCATCTCTCGGCATTCTATGGTTTGGAGCCAATGTGTAAATGATTACTTTGTCACCAGGCTTTCGGAAGAGGAAATAACAAGCAAAATAAAGGTATGCCAACACCATCCAGCCTCCATGTTTAAACTGGATTCAATTAGAAGAAGTCACAGGACGAGGCATCCTTGTGGTTCTCTAGCATCAGCTAACTTTGGGCTTCTCTTCCTCAAGGGGAGGTGGGGGAGGAGTGTGGAGCTGCAGGGCAGAATGCTAAACAATTAATTTTCTGCATTTGGCTTTTATGAGCTATACTAATTTTCCAAATGTAGCCACAGTAATAACTCCAAAGGACTCATGGGGAGAATGTCGCATTTCTTGTTTTGTTACTTTGGTGGCCCAAGAAAGTTTACACTTCATACTTGAGGGTGACACAGCACAAGTCCCAACCCAGCCTCCATTTCCAACAAGAAATGGATCTGTCCTGGTGTGACATTATTAACCATCACTGTAAGTGACTAAAAAGAAAGGTAGGGAGTTCTGCAATCAATCAAAACCCAGAAATATGGGAGAGGGGTGGGTAAGAAGCAACCACAGATGTGTACCCTCTTGCATATGCTAATCCCTGAGTAAACCAGAGAGCACGGCGCCTGCTCCTTAATTTACAAATAAACCAACAACGCTGTCTGAGATTTGAGACCTGGGAAACCCTCAGCCTTCACCAACCTTGCCTGGCCCTCTGGAGCACGCAGCTGTCTCAGCTTGGACACCAAGCTCCTAGGGTCCTCGCTAGATCCTGCTCTAAGCTTGGAAGCAACTCCGTGTCCAGGCACAGCCATTCAGGTTGCTCCGAGGGGCTGCATTTGAATGTTCAAATCCAGGCGACTGGGATTGCTCACAAGTATCACAGCCATAAAGTTAGGAGGCTTCCTCCCAGCGCACCACTCCTCCCCCCAACCCCCATTTTAAACCAGCCAGAGGAAGGATGCGATTATACAAAGCAAAACAGCATTTATCCTACTTCCTCCGAATAACAAAACCAGGCTCGGGCGGGTGGCTCCCTCCTGCCCCAGGCTGGGTCGCCTGGCGCTCCCCAGACCCACCGCTCCTATCGCTGGGCTCCCCTATCACTGGGCTCCCGCAGCCGTCTCCAGGCCCCAAACACCAATAACCCACTAGTTTTAAAATTAAATCCTCCTCAGAGTCTGATTTTTCTCCTGGGAAGGTCAAATCTAGGGCCCAAGGCTGGCTCGTTGAGCAGGGAAGCTCGACTACACTACCTGGTAGGGATGTTTACAGAGTACGTGTGGGCAACTGCCATCCTAGAACCTGAGGCCTGTGGAAGTGGGATTTCTGACTTCTGGACACCACCCCCGAGGAGGCCTGAAACCTTCATGTGCTGCTGGGCTTTGACCCAGGCCTCGGAGTACGCGGGCACTCAGTGTATGTCCAACACATTACATCTCTGAAAGTTTCAGAGCCTCGACTTCACCATCAATAAAGTGGGCAAGTAACACTGATCTCGCAGTGAGGCTCAGAGTATGAAGATTTAGAATGTCCGGGGCCCCATCTGCCACCGGGTCACTCCTTTTTGTCAAGCCCAAACTCGGTGTGTTGATTCCTCTGAACTCTGCTGCTCATCTGTTACTGGGAGGCCAGAGGCTGCCACACAGATCAGATAAGATAATGTAGTTGAAAGTGCTATAAAGGACCCAGCAAACTCGCGTTTAAATTCTTTGAGTCCTTAATCTCCACACCCTTTAGAAGCTTTTGGAGTTTCTAACAGGGTGGAGAGGGGTGCCAGAGGGGACAGCCACTGACGCCTGGGTATAGGGCTTTGTTTTGTTCACAAACTACGGTGCACCTCGCGGCTTGCGGGCTGACTGATGGAAATGGAGAAAGACGTAGCTCTCCCGGCTTTGGACCAAGTCCCTCCACATGCCCCCCCATTCTCACCTTTCCTAGAGGTACGGTGGGGGTGGGAAACCTTACAGGTCAGGAGACAGAAGTGAAAAAAAAGTTATAGGGAATGAGTTCTCCAAATTGCAAAAGGATTCAGGGCCTAAAAGTGGACACGACAGCTGGAGGACAAATCAATTCTCCTGGGCCTGACTCTGCCCTCCCGCCTCATTGGCAGGAAGCGGGGCGCCACTTGTCCGGACCTCTGCTTGGTCTCTCTGGGGAGAGGGGTCAGTGGTGCCCGGGGCACCCTACAGAGGAGCAGGGCTTGGACACCCGGGCCCCTCGGCCAGTTCAGCCACTGTTGGTGACCTGTATCAAGCAAGTTCAGCCCTCTTAGAGCATGGGTGTTTGAAAACGGGGACAGCCAGAGGTCCCGTGCCTCTGCCTACATTTGGGGGTTCCAGCGATGACTGGGACCTGGTTTCCTAACGAGCAGCACTTTGTAAACTCTCCAGCTCTGCTGGAATGCTGTTAATTATTACTATGAGCCAAGCCCAGTCTGCGCGCTTCAGACCCCAGCCCGCTCCCAGCGAAGCTGAGGACCTCACCAGCGAGGTGCTGGCCGCGGGGACATGTCCTCCCTGCCACCATCCCTTCGCGGCATCCTGCTTCCACACCCGGGGGACCCATGGAAGGTAACGATTTCCAGCCAGCATCGGGTTGGATTTCAGTTAGCTGCCTTTAAAATGAGGGTACACCTCGCAGGACTGTGCACTTTGAAAGGCGTTAAGACGCCCTCGCCGTAGCCTGGCACCTACTCGAGTGCTCATTAGACGTGAGTCCCCCTTCACTCCCCACACAAGAGACCCCGGTGGACAGTGAAACAAAAATGCCCTTAGTGGCTGGAGCGCAGGGCTGAGGGCTAGAGAAACCGAACCAAGCAACCCCCGCAAACCCAGCTGGGGTTCGCCCTTCAAAGACAAGCGATTCCGCAACTGTGTGCAGCTCTGCACAGCGAGGGGACCCGGGCCACGCGCTGTGCGGGCATTACCCACAGGGTGCCTCGGATGCAGCCGGGGCGCTGAGCTCTGGGGATACCAAGGGGCCCAGAACTGCTATGTGCTCGCTTTCCGGGGCGCAGAGTGCAGAGGGGTCTCCGTACCCCCAGCCTGGAATACCGCCCCCCCCTCCCGGCTCCCTCCAGGACCCCTCGTCCCCGCCCGGGCGTGCACTCACTCGGCGGCGGCGAGTATCTGCCGGGCTCCTGCATCCACGCCGCTCCGTCTTCTGAATTTTCCGACTTGACCGAAGCGGTCTCCACGGGCTTGCCCAGCGGCCCGGGGCTGTGCGCTTCCCGGGCGCCGTGTCCGGGCAGCAGCAGCGGCCGCAGGGCGGCCCCGGCGGAGGCGCTCTCGGCGGGCCGTGGGGACGTCTCCTTGGGCGGCCTCTTGTCCGACATGAGCGCCTCCACGCTGAAGGGCAGGCTGGAGACCTTGACGCGCCGCTCCTCCGCCGGCCCCTCGGCGCCCCCGGGCCCCGGGCCCGGGCCGGCCACCATCGCCGGGCCCTCCTCATCGGACGAAAACAGGTCATTGCCTTTGGACGGAGAAGCCATGACTTCTCTGCCCTCCGTAGCTCTCCGCGCGCGACTCGGCTGGCAACCCGGCAGCGGCGGCTCAAACTTTTTGGGGGGGAGACGGGAGGGGCGCGCCGGGAGCCGAGCCTTTCCACCAAGGGGAAGTGGGAGACGCGGCTCGGCCAATCCGCGCCGGCCCTGGCGCTGACGCCGCGGACGCTCGCCGCCGATTGGCTCTTCCGGAAGAGGCGGGGGCCTCTTTTTTCCCCCCCTGTTTGAAATAAATTAGGAGTTAATTACAGGAGCAGTCAGCAGAGTTGTTATTAGGCGATCCCTTAAGGGTTATAATCACGCCAAAACTGAAAAGTCCAAGGCGTAATTAAGGCCGATTATTGAAAGAGGAAGTTCGCCAAGTCCCATTTCTTCTCTCTTTTTTGACCCCTCTTTTTAAAAGGTACCGGGCGTCTGTATCACACCCCCCTCGCCGCCAGAACACGTTTAAAATCTGCAAGTGATAATTGCAAAAACATTCATGAAGCGCCTACTACGCGCCGAAGGTGGGTTAACTTGACAACTTTCGGAGCCAGCACTGAAAAGCACGAGCCCCCCACCCCCCACCCCCGCACGCAAGGCACTTAAACTAGTATTTTGCTCTTAGTAAGTGCTCAACGGCGTCCGCTATTACTATAACTCCCTTAGAAGAAGAAGGGCTGCAGCTAGCCGGAGAAGTGGCCAAGGGGCTGCTCTCTCCCAAATGGTTCCAACTGGACAAATTAAATCAGGGGCCCCCCATGCCTTCCACTCGGAAAGAAAACCAGCGCACCCTTAGCCACTTGGAGTCCGTGTATTTTCTTTTCCCTGAATCTCCTCTCTGGGCTGCATCCCACCACACCCTTTTCTGCAGACTGTATTGTGTGTGCCTGCGTTTGTCTGAGCCTATATTTGTTGTGTGTGTGTTTGGGTGCCAGTGTTTGCCTTTGACGGAGAGGAGAAGGGGGGGGGGGAAGGCATGATAATATCTAGTGCTTTCTTCCCTCTTGCAAATCTCAGAAATACAGGGTTCCAAGTTTGCGCACTCTGGGCCTGTGGATCTTTTTGGGAAGCACATTTTTATTCATTGCACCTGGTTTTAAAAAAAAGAAAAAGAAAGAAAGAATGAAAGAGAAGGAACATCGATATTCCACCCCACTCCAAATTATACCCTGGATAATTACATCCCAAACCTTAGTGATGGCTGTCTCAGTTCAGGGAAGGGGAGAGCTAGCTAGTTCCAGTGCACAGAGGCCTGGGATGTCTGCAGGCCAAGGGGCCAAGACCCATGGCTTCAAATGACTCTTTCCCTGTATCTGAGCCATTATCCTGTGAGTGAAGAGGTAATTTGCTATCCCAGCTCAGGGCCTTGCACACAGCACACGCTCCCTAAACAGTTTCCAGAGTCTTGGAAGGAATGGACATGGTTTGTCATTACTGAAATGACCAAGGCTTGGAGGCTCCCTCCCAGTTCAAGTCTTTGGAACTTGACTCCCAGACCCATGTGCCAGAGCAGCTCTCGGATGCCTTGCTTCCTTCACCCCAAACTTCTGCCTGGTGTGAAATTCTGCTGGCTCAGGATAACCAAACAGGCAGTACCTGAATCTCACAGGATAAAAACAGTCTGCACTGGCCAGTTATTTCAACGTGATTAGAAATGGTCCTGAACAAGTTAAAAAGTAAAGAAGCTCTAACCACAGTATTCTAAAACCTCTGGGTCCCTATCTCACCACTAGGAACAAGCACGTTCTTTTTCTGTTTTTCAACAAAGTGGAAAATCAGAGAAAGTTAAAAAAGAAAAAAGAAAAACAACAACTATGAAAGCTATCTGGAGATGTATGCATTTTCCCCTTGAGTCATACTTGATGATAGTTGGCTTGATATGCATCTCAAATACAGTACAGGTAAATCCAGATTAAGCTCTCTGCCTCCTAGAGGTACCCAGCAAGGTGCAGGCTCTATTTTGGAAGCAAAACTGAAATTCGTTGAGCCCTCAGCAGCCAGTGTGCAAAAGGGTTCAGCTTCCAGTTGGGCTGTCCCTAGCCACTGTTTTATCATTGTTCCTGAGAACTCCTTGTTAATATTTGTCCATTTAGGGGCAGGAGCTCATTCCTGGGAAATTAAAATAAAAATGAACGCTAGGGAGCTCTTTTATTTTGATGAACATTTCAGGGAGAAGGGAAGCCAGGCTCTCCTCACTACTCTCAGATTTTGATGTCCACACAAAGAAATTTATGAAGCCAGAAATAGGGAAATGGTAGATACTAAAGAAAAAAAACAAAAACAAAACCTGGTGTTCAAAGCCAGGGTGCCAAACTCTGGCTGTGAGCAGGAGAGAGGCCCAGGGGGCAACCAACCTGCCCAACTCCTCTCCTGCCAGCTCTCAGCTCCCTGCTGGGGTGGAGACAATTCAAGAAAGGGTCTCTCACCTCCGCTGGAACCTCAACACGACTGGAACCCTTTCTGGAAAGCTCTATCTGCGCATTAGCTCCTGCGTGGGCTGTGTTTTCAGATCATTTTATTCACCTATTCCTGGCCCTGCGATCTTGGGCTCCTTACCTCGCCCTAGGCCAGCCTTTTTATCTCAAAAGTAGAGGGAATAACCCCTACCTGGGACGGTTCTTGTGATCATTAAATTCAATATGCTACGTAAAGTAACTAGGAGATGTATGAGATCAATAAAAAGCTTTGTGTATCAAAAGCAGTAACAACGTATCGAATGCTGTCTCCCTGCCAGATACCCAAAACGGAGCGCATCGTCCGGCCTCACCGAGTTCACGGTGGGTTCTTTGTAAAATCTCGGAGGCTGAGAGTTTGGCTCGGCCTGAAGAGTGTGTAGTCCCTTACCAGAGGGCTGGCCTTGGTACTTAGGGGGCATGCGGTAAAGGCCAGTTCCCGGTGACATGCTCGCCGGCAGAAAAGTGGGGTTCCATTCGGAGCTCAGTCACCACTGAGCGTCAACTCTGCACGATGCTTTAGTGCCTGGACCTGTCCTCCAGGATCTCATTTTGTTCATCCAACACACCGCTCTCTGCGGAGATTGTTTTCTCCATTTCACAGATGAAAAACGCAAGGCTGAGATGCGCTTAGTGTGCTGCCCAAGGGTACGCAGGTAAGAAGTGGGGGGGTACCCGGGGATCGCCCCGCGCCATACAGGGCCCTGTGCGCACAGCCGCAGCACTCCCAAGTTCCCGGGCACCCAGGGGCACTTCGCACGCGCTGGGGCCCTCCGTGGGGCAGCGGCGCACGCGCACCGCAAGTCTCCAGAGAAAACACTCCTTGCAAACCGTGGAGGGGGCACGCCGACCGCACGGTTTGCAACCCCCAGGACGGATCGCTGGATCCCGGCTGCTAGGAGGAGGCGGGGGAGGGGCGGAGGAGGGGGCTGTAGACGGGCCAGGGCTGCGGGCAGGCGCCAGGCGCGGGGAGATGAAAGGCGGGCTCCGGGGGAAGGGGCTGCGCCGGGTGACCGGCTCCAGCCGCGCCGGGCGCCCCGCCCCCGCCCCGCCCCGCCCCGGCTGCCCGGGGCAGAGGCGGCTGCCCGCGCCGGAGCCGCGTTAATTGCTCTCGGCCCCGGCACTCAGCCTGCGCGGAGCCGGGACAACCTCGCTCCAGGAGGAATGACAATTCGCCCTAATGGGACAACCTCGCTCCCAGAGGAGTGACAATTCCTCCTAATGGGCCGCTCGTTAGCGGCCTATTCTCTCGAACCTGGGTATCAGAAGCGGGCAGACAAGCGGGCGCCAACGTCCGCCTGGAATTCCACATCGCCGCTCCCCACCACTCCAACCCCATCCTTTCGCTGTGTGACCTCGGGCAAAAGGCTGCCCCTCTCTGAGCTCATTTTTCTTACCTGTACAGTGAGGACTAGGGCTGGGGAAGATCAGGCGTCGGTGAGGTGGGCCTATTTCCAGGCATTTGAGAGATCACTTACGGAGTTACAGAGTGAGAGGGGGCTAGACGGGCATTCAGGGTCACTGTTTGAGGTTCTTTGGGGGGACAAACCCCTTGCTTGTGAAGTTCTGGACGGTTTCCTACGGCCCGCCCACTGAGGTCAGGACCCGGTCCAAGTCGCGCCTGGAGAGAGCGGCCTGTGCCAAAGCATTCTGCACGTTACACAGGCTGCCTGAAGCCTGGGCGCCCTCCCGCTGGCTCCCACTCTACAGATGAGGAGGTCGAGGCACGGACACGAGGGAGGCTGGCCTGACAGCTACTGTGGGTTGAGCCTAATTCGACAATGTCCCATGGAAGAAGCCCGGGACAGGATAGAGGGGGGGAACCGGCGGCGGACACAGGTGCCTCTCCCTAGGTCCGCAGCGCGGAGGGGAGGGGGCGAGTTCTGGGAGACTTCCAGTTGTTCGGGCCACAGCTGGTGTGAGGGCTGCAGAAGGCAAAGGCCCCGGGTTCCGCTCCTTCTGTGTAGTTCTGTAGTCAAATCCAGCCCTGCTTCTTACCACTTGCCACCATCCCTGCCCTGGCGGGCCTCCGTAACTAGCCCTTTTCAGAAAATAGCACACGCATGCCCAGCCTACAGCATCTCTGGCGAGGACGAGGTGAGAAGCCTCACCAAAACCCGAGCAGCACAGTGTGGCTGCAGCAGCGCCCATGGCTCAGGAGCGGCTGGTCTGGCTGTAGGATCCTTGTTGGCTTTCAACAGGTTTGAGGTGCTTACTTCCCCCTGGGACGCTGGACAAATCACTCCACCATCTGCACCACAAGTTTCCTCATCTGTGATATGGGAACGTCAGGCATTCAGTAAATGGATAATATTATCATCTTCTAAGTCTTTATCGATATTATTTTTTATTCCCCCCCCCCAATAGATCTGCCTGGCATCACACACATCTGGGGTCCAGCGACCCAACGTCTGGCGATTTGAGACCTGAGACTGCCACTTTTTTTAAGCCTCGTGTTTTAACTCCCACCTCTTGAGAAGGAACCAGATTGGCAGTGCTGTCTGGTGAGGGGTGGGGAGGACGAGGAGGAATGAATGGCTTAGGCGCACAGCTGGGAGCATCTGTCATTTCCCAGCCCTGGGCACATCTTGCTGGCATCTCCACAG